GATTTATTTTCATCAAAATCTATTATTTGAATTTTTTTATAATTGTTCAGATGTTAAGAATTATTTATTTCTTCTTGATACAGTCAATAGTTCAGTATGAAATTTTCATATGGTGAGGAACTTATACGACTACACGAAGCCAATTATTTCATTACAGAATAGTATTATAAACCATATAACACAACTTACTGATAAAAATTAAACAATTTATTGTTTGTTATGGATTTCGCGCGAAGCTACACGAGGGCTATCTGAGCTAGCCGTCCCTAATTTAGCAGTTAAAGTTTAAAGTCTAGTTAAAAGCTAGTCATCCCCATCCACCGCCAACTCTTGGGCTACTCTTTTACCAATGAATAGTGGGATTGACTGTCACATTATAACGCCCCCACGGCTGAACAGGTTGGATGTAGACAGGGATTTGAACCCGCGACCCTCAGATTGCGAGTTGAGCGCCCTAACCACCTGGCCATGCGGGGCCAAACAATTTATAACAGGAATATTTTACTAAAAACACTTCCTGTGAGACATTTATTAAAATATAGAATATTAATGAATAAAAGTTATTACTTTTGAATAGCTCCCCGGAGGAACAGTGGTATGTCTGAGGACTTACAACACTAGAATCTGAGTTTCGATACCCGTGGTGGGTAGAGCACAGCTAGCCCTTTGTGTTTAACTACAACCAAACTTATGAATAAAAGTTATGCTTATCCCAATAGAATACGTGGATTTAGCTACAGAATGGGCTTCTGTGCTGTACCCACCACGGTTAATGAAACCAAATGTTTAGCTTAATAAGCCTACAGACTGACTGCTGAGCCATTGGAGGGCAATTCCAATAAATTAAGAAAGAGATCATGCAAAAAACATTTTAATTATGTACCACCAATGCCCCTCAGTGGCACAGCGGTATTTCTGCGGACTTACAACGCTAGAATCCGGGTTTCGATAGCCGTGGTGGGCAGAGCACAGACAGCCCTTTGTGCTTAACATCAATCAATCAATCAAACGTGCCACCAAAAATATTTCATAGTTTACACTGAATAATAACAAATGAAAATAATACAAGACAGTTTAAGGTACTTGAAAACAAATAATGATATTACTGACATTGAATCGAGAAGGAATATGGAAAAAAAATCTGTAGTTATCGTGATTTTTATCGCAAATGTTTGAACCCATTGGTTTCCAATACTTCGCCAGTTTTTGGTGTTTAAATACTCCATCTAGCTAAATCTGATATTTCCTTATTTTATTTTTTCTCTGAACATCAGCATTGTTGGTAAATTTCGATCTGTTCTTGAATGTATAAATAAAAAAACGACAAAAAATGGTGTAAACAGATGTGAGGACCTATTTCCCTTTATTAACAAAGTACAACGTTTTGACCTATTTATCTAGATTACCATAAGGTATGTCACACCCAAAATTTCCGGGAATAATATCTTACCGATGCATTTTTATACCATGAATCCGCATAGAAGTTTTCGCGGAAAAATCGGGCCCTAAAGTCAGGAACTTTCACCATTAAATATGTATATATACGAAAAATACCCACCCTCCTTCCATATAAGCCGTTCGAATCTGACTTCCGTCGAATTCTGTTTTGATAAAATTTTGTACAAAACTTATTGACTGTGTGTGTTAGATTATGTTTGTTTTAATGCTACGGAAATATTATTTTGATGAGAAGACATCAAATAAGTTTAGTTAGGTTTAATGAGTACGGTAGGCGACAGTAAAATCCTTATTTATATCTTTTTATTGTTATAAAATTTTAATATATTAAATATTAAATAATATTAAATATTATTTCAAAGTTTGCGGAATCGAAACAACGTACAGAAATAAAACGGCCTATTGGCAACTTAATCATTTCTAATTGCAATCGCGATACGTTTTAAATAAATAACATTATTACCGTTACCAATGGTAGGAAAACGTTTTCATTATTTGATTTAGACTGGTAATACTGCATGTGTTAAAAATAAACAAAATGGAAACTTCGTGGTGTCGTCTCGATTCGTCAAGTAAGAAACTTTCACATCATCTTTAAAATAAACAAATATTGTACCAAAAGGTTCGCTAAAATAAGTTTGCATTTTGCAAAATGTGCAAATGGCGACCTCCAGCGGAAACACTGAATATCTATTTTTTTATTAAATGAAGGGAAGAAAAAATATAAGAAAATAACTGCGATGAAACCAGGATCAATTACGTGAGAATATTCGATTAATGAGCCCAACAATTAACTGAGTAGCTGAGAATATTCGATTAATGAGCTCAACAATTAATTGATTAACTGAGAATATTCGATTACTGAGCCCAACAATTAATTGATTAACTGAGAATATTCGATTACTGAGCCCAACAATTAATTGATTAACTGAGAATATTCGATTACTGAGCCCAACAATTAATTGATTAACTGAGAATATTCGATTACTGAGCCCAACAATTAATTTATTAACACATTCCAGTTCTGCTGTTATTCATTAAAATTGCTTGAACAAAGACTGGAAAATTAGTTATTACTCAAAAAGAATGTAAGTACAGGAGTTGACCATTATACACATATACACACATATACATATATACACATACATACACATATACATACGCATATACACAGATATATACATGTGCATATACACACACATATATATACACATTACATATACACAAATATACATACATATACACACATATATACACATATACATATACACACACATATACATATACACACATATACATTTACACACATATACATACACACACATATATACACATATACACACATATATACACACACACATATACATATACACACATATACATACACACACATATGTACACATATACATATGCATATACACATATACATATGCATATACACATATACATACATATATACATATACACACATATACATACATACACATATGTACACATATACATACATATACATATACACATATACATACATATACATATACACATATACTTACATATATACATATACACACATATACATACACACATATACACATATATACATATATATATATATACATATATATATATACATATACACACATACATACACACACACATATATATACACACATATACATATACACACATACATACACACACACATATATATATACACACATATACACACATACATACACACACACATATATATACACATATATACATATACACACACATATTAACCGTAAACACCCGAAATATGCTCGCCTGTTTACAAAAGTGCACAAGAAACAACTTAAACGAATTGTTACGACATAAATAGAATTTAAATATAATTATAAACATATTCTGGACATGTGGTGAAGTATGATGGACAGGTGGCCTAAAGAATGGTCACTTCCAGCGAAAAAAAAGTGGGTCAGCCTTGAATGTTTATACACCAGTTTATATTATCCATTAGGTAGAAGCACATATGTATAGGTAATGATACAGAGCGTATTGTAAAGGCTGCTTTAAACAAATATGTTTAATTTCAGCACTGTTTTTGGTAAAGATTTCGTTCATTTCCATAATATAGGTGTGAAAGTGGGAATACATACGACCTTGAGGAGGTGTTTTTTTCTCTAGCAATAAGTTCAGTCAAGCTTGTTAACATTGTATTTAAAATATTAGTTTATCCCAAACTTTATTAATGGCTACGTGTTGTCTTTATTCAGGTCGATTGCTGTTCTTAGATGGGCTTATATCACTTCGCTGAAATGTATTAGAAGTGATAAGACACATCAGATTGATGACGTTCGGATAGAAACTATTAAAACATTCTCTGAAATAAGATGATTTTGAATTTTTAAACTGAACGATCTCCTTATAAGGATGTGGGTTAAGCGACCAGATCAGAGACGTCCTCTTTGGACTAAATAATGGGATTGATTGTCACATTTATAACGCACCCAATCTGAAAGTGCAGGGCTTATTCAGTAACATTAATATTCGAACTCAGGACTCTTCGATCCGCAGTCTGTTAATGCTAACCCTTGGCCTGAACAAATGCGAAATATTACGATAATAATATATTTCCTCTATCACTGATTAATTTCATTAAAACATAAAACTTAATTTGAATACATCACCTACAGAGTGTTTACGTCGATAAGGATACAAATCAAACAAACATTATATTTACAGGATCGGATCAATCCAAAAGGCTTAAGATCTGGGACTAAAGTTCTAAGCAATAACGTACGAACCTTCGCTGCTTGTGTATTTGGCAACTTATGTATCACATTGAACAACTGGCCATATCAGATCCTAAGGTTTAAGCATTCTGATATAAGATTTGTTGCCCAACTGAAGGGTTACCAGTAAGCAGCACCCGCAACGATTATGACACAACTTTCTGTTTTTCATGAGAACGAGTGTTGTTACAGTTAAATACAGGATTCTATTTTAAACATGGCCGGGCATAGACGAATGTTTAACAAGTCCGGACCATGAATCCGAGGTTTCAAGGTTCGTGTCCCGATGTCGCAAAGTGCAATCCGCACTTTGAGGTTTTGGGCTAGTTATAAGAGTGACGTTCACATCCTACTATTCGATCAGAAAGAGTAGTCCAAGAGTTGTCGGTGGGTGCTCTTGACTATATCATCTTTAGTCTATCACTCTAAACGTACACTGACATCAATTCATGTACCTTTGTAGGAAATATCAAAACAAGCAAAATATTCAAAATTCAAAACCTACTAGATTATATATATACCAATTATAAATTTGGTGATAATTGAGTTCACTGACTTTTACTTTTCTTGAATCCTTGTTAATCGGAAACAATTTGGGACCCAAACTTCACTGAATTAAACGTAGTCCGTATCGGAGTTCCATTTACAAAATCTAAATTCTTAAAATTCTGCAATTTTTTAATTATTCATTGAAGATAACTAGTCTAAGGTTATATAGTAATGAAAACAATAATCAAATAAATAATAATATAACATGTTACTTACTTAATTTTGTAAGGTTTTGTTTGTAATTAAACACAAAGCTACACACTGGGCTATCTGTGCTGCGTCCACCACGGGTATCGAAACCAGGTTTTTAGCGTTATAAGTCTGCAGACTTACCGCTGATCCACTTGGGGGCGTTTTATAATGTAGTATAGCTACTCACTGTATAAAAAAACTGTAGGAAGATAGTACATATGTTCTAAGAAAAAGTAAATACATCACAGCTATAGCAGGAAACCGAACGCGGACAGTAAAGGAAAACAGTGTAAATGAGTCTTTTACTTACTAGCTGTCTTTAATTCGCTGAAGGGTTGTTACTGGCTGCTGTGATGAAAAATAAAATGCTTCCTAAAATATCCACACAGGGAAGCATCAAAACAAAAATAATGAAATTCCACACTATTAAGTCAGAATAAGGCCTCATTGCAGCATCCCAAAATCCTTAGATTACCTACTCCAACAATTATTTCAAATAAGTGTAAACAAGAGAGAGCGAACTCTCAACTCATATTAAGCAACTACAAGTTGAACAGAAAAATTGTAGTTGTTTAATAAGAGTTGAGCAACTACAAGTTGATCAGAAAAATTGCTGTAGTTATATAACTTTTAAATAAGAAAGATAATTAGTTCAAGTTTATGCTTTGTACAATTGGTTTACCAGGAAGATGATGACTAAATGAAAAACCCCTGCACAAAGTTTTAGAAATAATATCCTATTATATCTAAAGATATATTTCATATTAGTTGTGGAAGGGTGAAGTCAGCAGCTCTTTGTAAGTGTAAAAAAGTTGGTGATTGTTTTCATGGTTAATATTACTCAGTGAATATATTCATGTTGCTCGAAACATTCGAAACATTTTGTTCATCATTCACATGTCTAGTTAGTAGTTTTAAGTCCTGACACACAGTGCAGACATAGTGTTCTACGATCCAAGGTATGAAAAATGATCTGACAATGAATTACGCACAAAAATAACTAAAAATAATTAAAATGCAAAGTAGATTTTCAACACTTTTTGTTCATCGATGTTGCCTTGAAGCCACCTGAAATTCAAACCTTTCGCAAAAAAACAAAACAAAACAGAATTCAAATACAAATATTTCAGTGTTTGATTGTTTGTTGTTAAGCGCAAATCTATTCCCATCACGAGTATCAAAACCCCATTTTGAGCGTTATAGTTTGTTAGTTTCGTTGTTAAGCGCAAACCTGAACAATTGGCTATCAGTGCTCTACTTACCGCGGGAGGCCCGGCATGGCCAGGTGGTTAGGGCACTCGACTCGCAATCTGCAGGTCGCGGGTTCGAATCCCTCTCACACCAAACATGCTCGCCCTTTCAGCCGTGTGGGCGTTATAATGTGACGGTCAATCCCACTATTCGTTGGTAAAAGAGTAGCCCAATATTTGGCTGTGGGTGGTGATGACTAGCTGCCTTCCCTCTAGTCTTACACTGCTAAATTTGGGACGGCTAGCGCAGATAGCCCCCCCCCCCCTGTAGCTTTGAGCGAAATTCAAAAAACAAACAAACAAACTTACCGCGGGTATCGAAATCCGGTTTTTATCGTTATAAGCCCTCAGACTTACGGATGAGTCACCGAGTGAGAATCATGTTTCAATGAACGAAACATAAATATGAAAAATGAAAACAGTAATTAAAATATACGAATTTTAGAAAATTTTGTACTTGTTATGTAATGAACTATTTGATGATTTACGAAATTTAATCAACTTTCACGCGCATTTGATTAGTGTTGTAAGTCCGTAAACTTACCGCCAGAGGACTCATTATTATCTTATTACTATTTTGTTTTTTAAAGAGCGGCATTCTTGATCAGCTATAACAGTATTGGATAATAATGAGTCCTCCGGTGGGAAAGCGGTAAGTTTACGGACTTACAAAACTAAAATCTGAGGTTCGATTCCCCGCGTTAAACACACCAGATAGCCCAATGTAGCTTTGCTTTAAAACAAACACACAAACTATATAGAGAGGAATAATTAATAAAAGTTTAGTAACTCAATATTGGATAAGTTAGTGCTTGCAATGGAATCCACATACATATACATCAGTTCCAAGAATTCAACAAATCAAGTACACACATACATCAGTTCCATAAATTCAACTAATCAAGTACACACATACATCAGTTCCAACAATTCAACAAATCAAGTACACACATACATCAGTTCCAAGAATTCAACAGATCAAGTTCACACATACATCAGTTCCAACAATCCAACAAATCAAGTTCAAACTGCTTGTAACCCAAATGACAAACCGTTTCCAGTTAGTGGCTGCAAAAAACAACAACAACAAAAAAAAAACATGTTACCTTACTATTATTTCCCCTTGAATTTGTTGTGTTTTTTTATTCAAGGTACAGTAATTATAAGTGTAAAAAGAAATGTATCTAGGTTATCTCTTTCTTGCCACTGAGGTGCTTTCGTGAAACATTTGTAAAGAAATAATAATTTGGTATTATTCAAAATGATTCACCAAAATGAGGTTGTTTAAAAAAAAAAACTTTCGTAAAAACGTATTATAAATGTGACAGCTGCTTTATCAGTGTCTATATTAAAAATTAAATCAAAGAAGGAAAATACATTGTGTGTATATTGATTTTTAAATAATGTTTTCATAAATATTGTTATACATTAAAGTATCGTAATCTCTACTGTTTCCGGGTGTTTTTAAATAATGTTTTCATTTATAAGTAAGGACTGTATAATTTATTGTTATATATTAATGTATCGTAATCTCTACTGTTTCCGGGTGTTTTTAAATAATGTTTTCATTTATAAGTAAGGACTGTATAATTTATTGTTATATATTAATGTATCGTAATCTCTACTGTTTCCGGGTGTTTTTCAATAATGTTGCTAACTATTTTAGAGAGTAAATTACTTTAGAAACAAACGTAATCAACAAAATGTGTAATTTGAGAGCGGTAAGTCTAAAAGTTTACCACTCTAATAACCGGGTTTTGATACCCGTTGTTGGCACAGCACAAATAGCCCATTTTGTAGCTTTGTGCTTAATTACAAACAAACAAATCCGGCACGAGTAGACCCGGCATCGCCAGGTGGTTAGGGCGCTTGACTCGCAATCTGAGGGTCACGGGTTCGAATCCCCGTCCCATCAAACATATTCGCCCCCTTTCAGTCGTGGGGGCGTTATAATGTCACGGTCAATCCCGCTATTCTTTGTTAAAAGAGTAGTCCAAGAGTTGGCGGTGGGTGGTGATGACTAGCTGCTTTCCCTCTATTCTTTCTCTGCTAAATTAGGGATGGCTAGCGCAGATAGCCTCGTCTATCTTTGTGCGAAATTTAAAACTAAACCATCACGGGGAATCGAACCCCGAATTTTGAGCCCCTGATCCGAGTGAAAACTTTTTCTTTAATGAAACAATAATAAAAAATTCCACATGTACAATATCTATTTTGTATTTTAATGACATTCTCCGAGTGTGCTCGAAATAATTTAACATGTAATGATTTTGAATTAGCATTTGTTTTTTGAATTGTCACTTAGGGGTTACTACAACGATTACAATATATTAAACATTAGAAATACAAAATTAATCCATATCATAAAATGACCATTCCGTATATGTTTTGTAATTAATTATAGAGTAATCTTTCTTAAGTACTAATATCATTAGCAGTATAGATCACAATGTTCAATATGCGTAATATTCTTATTATTTATATTCATCTACTTTTGACTATATATTATTTATTGTTATGAGCATTTTGCATTGTTAGTTTAGCACTTGAATTTATGACTTACCTAAGTTTTCTAAGTTGGCCGAACATTGTGAGGTATTATTGGGATTATGGCCGAAAACATCGTCAAAAGGGAGAGCACTTACTTGATGATTTAATGAATTTTAGTCCTTATAAGTTTTTGTTTTATAATTTGGCACACTCTATTAAGAACATCATATTAACTTAGTTCTATTCATGATGGAGTTAATATATAGTTTTGTCTGTCTCTTGCTTTGATCAGGTTTTGTTTGTTTGTTTGAAGTTAAGCACAAAGCTACACAAGGGCTTATCCGTACTCTGCCCACCACGGGTATCGAAACCCGGTTTCTAGCGTTGTAAGTCCGCAGATATCCCGCTGTGCCACTGGGAGGCGCTTTGATCAGGAGTTAATTATAATTTTATATTCCATTAAAAATATATGTAATTTCTGGTAGTTCATAGCAATCTGTTTAATTTTTTATTTTCATTTCTACGTGTTCAATATTACGAATAAGATTCTATTTCGGCGCTCTAAATTTTTTAACAGCGTGAATTATGTTTTTAGTGTTAGATTTGCTGTCTCCCGTGTATCGCACTAGTAACTTTTAGCGGGAATAAATTATCAAAGCCAGTGGCATAGCTAACTCTGGGCGAACGAAAAATAAAAATGAACATTTTATCGACAAAATATTATATATCAAAGTTTAGCAGATAGACAAAATTGTACGAGTTTATTTAGACCAGACCTTTACGTCTGTTTTCATAAACGTATGAACTACAGTTTTTTTATTCCTGTGTTTATCTACAATTTTCTATGAATATGATGGGATCCAAGCCATAAGATGAAAAACTGGAGAATTAAAAAGTTAATTTACACTTTCATAGAAATTCCTTCTTAATTATAAAAACTTATGATAATAATTATTATGTAACTTCTCTACTTTACATTAGTATAATTCAGAACCAACAGTTATTAAATAATCAGTGAAAACCTCTTTTCAATAAATGTTTCTAACCAACTAAAGCTACATAACTGAAACCCTAGAAAAAAATGCATGTGTAGTTATTCACATCCGACGTATAACGTTATCATGAAATAACTGATCTTCATTTTAATGTCTGTTTCACGTTGCTTTCTATGGGAACTTACACATATTATGTCACCACATTTATATAAAGAATGCCATAACATTTTTGGAAATTAATAATATTAATAATTACGAGAATACAAATTTGTCAAACGATAACTAGATACTCATTTGATTATTTTCTTTATCACTTGTCTACTTACGAATACGATGAATCTTAACCA